AAGGATTTAATGTTTCATATATATATATATATATATATATATATATATATATATAACATGATATGCAATAGTGTATGTTTAAATTGTATCAAATTGTGTAATGATTACACAATCATAACAAATTAATGAAGAGTGTGCTAGTCAGACAAATTCCAAGGGTCCTTCAGTGAGGAACTTGAATTTTCTCTGCAAATGTCATAACATGTTGACAGATTACCCTGCAGCTATTGACAGGAAAGGTCAGACTGTGACCAAGCTCATTCAGAGCTGTGTCATGAATATCCACAGCAAATTTAAGAAGAATTTTGAATTTATTTTTATTAGCTTTTGAGTCTTGAGTATTTGGACATAGTAGAGTATTTTGGACCCCCATTAGGGGTAGCCAAAGCATGATAGGGGGTCACAAGGCAATACAATGTATTTTTGTTATTTTATAACAGTATTGTATAAAGTTCCTAAAAATATCATGAAAAGCCTACTAATACAATATTGATAGCAAATAATCTGCTCAAAATTAATCTAAATTGCTTGTTTTACAGAAACTTCCTGTATTTATTATGTTCACTTTTTGGGTTCATTGTACAGTTTATCAGTTGATCTATACTGTTATTTGTATGCATTTAATATAATATAAAAACTAAATATGTGACTTAGTCTGCAGTTTACTCAGTGATTTAAAGGAAACGGTTGGGAACCACTGCCCTAGAGCACAAGTCATTAAATGTCAAAGATATTACTTTTACTATGTTTGACCAACAAAAAAAAATTTCTCACGTTTGAGAACCTGGAACGAATATTTTGGGGGGATTTTTACTTAAAAAATAATCAAAATATTTGCATTCATTTTGTTTTGATCAATTAACAGGCTTATCATTGCAGCTCTGTATCTAAGTATTGGACTGACCACTGAAGCACTGCTACTAATATGGCTAAATATTGAGAATGTTGCCAAAAACAATGATGATAATGCATGATTTTACAGCAAAGCTTTTTGGAAAGTTTTGAGAACCATTTTCCCAACATTATGGGTTGTTTTGCTGCTGGATACTATGAAAAGTAAGAGAGATGCCTGTTGACCTTACATTTCTTTGTTACACATATTGTTCCCAAAACTCAAGAATGAACATCCGAGCTCAAACTGTTTTGGCTAGTTATTATTACAACACTACCAGCATGTCGGTGTTTCAGCAATCTCACCTTACTGGAACTGGGGTCATGAGGGATCTCAGAAGTCACCATGCCATAGTGGTCCAACTGCCGGCAGGGCTTTTCCACTCCAAGGATCTGCTCCAGGGAGGCATTGGGGGGAGGGCACTGCGACAGGCTGGAGATGACCTGGGCCAAAGGAACTGGGATCTGCTCCGACTGCTGTTTATGGTTCATCCCCTGGAATGATGAAACCGTGGAGACGGCCCCGTGCTGTTGTCCACTCCCCCCAAACAAACTTCCACTAACAGTGTAATCCGCATTGTCAATATCTGGCATGCTATAATCCATGCAAGTATCTAGTGAGGTGTTTGTCAGAGGTTTTTGGCTGTTATCAAGGCAGGGGTTGCTGCCCAGACTCTCGCTGAATCCATAGTCCTGCCACTGGGATTTTCTTGCTGAGTGCTCTGTGCTGGAGATGCCACACAGTCCGTTGAGGTTGGCTGCCTTCTGTTTGGCATGGCACTGCTGTGAGAGATGGTTCTGCACCCTGGGTTGCTGCTGCTGCTGCTGAAGGTAGCGTTGATGTGTTTGCTGCTGATGAAGCTTGCCATCCAGCTCTGAGGCCTTGCCATTTAAAATAGTCTGTTGTGTGTTATAGTGTTCCAGTTGTATCCCTGCACTTGCCAGAATGTGTTGGGCTGTCCATTGTCCATTAGGGATGGATTGATTTTGCCCCAGCATGTCTCCATTAACTATCCTGTTGGCCAAATGGTCACTCTGCTGGCCCCAGTCATGTGTCACTTTACTGGGTCGCATGTTGAGGTGCTGTTGCATCTGCTGGGACAGCTGGACAATGGGGGTCTGCCCCACCAGGGGAGGCTTATGGTGAGGAAACTGCATTTGCACATTGACATCAGAGGTGGAATTACTTTCAGGTAGTGACACTGTTGTGGCTGTCGCTGAGGCAGTACTGGGAGGCACCTGTCCTCCATGCACTGTGGAATCAATCTTTCCCTCTATGGAGTCGTAGATGTAAGAAAGGATCTCATCGTTCGTCAGTAGGTCGTCCAAAGTGGGCACACGTTCAGGGTCCATCTCAACTCTGATCATGCGCTCATCCAGCAGCAGCAGCTCAAGGTCCTCGGCACTCAGCCCGAGACCTTCCAGAGCCCCAAACAGCTCGCCGTTTGAACAACCCCCCTCTTCTGAATCCACAACCCCATGGCCTTCCAGGGAGAGGGAGTCCAGAGTTGCCAGCAGTGGGTCAAAGCTGGTGCCTGCCTGTGTGATTCCTGGACCCAGCACACTATTGCTCGTCTCGTCCCAGCTCCTGTGCAAGCTGGGGGGTTCAGAGTCAGAGAAGCTCATTTGCTCTCCAAAGAAGCTATGGAATGACATTTTGGGCTCCACGGCAGGCTGGCAAACATACACCGACTCATCCTGACTCATGAGTGCCCCTAGTAGAGAGCCAGGGTCCAGACCATCCCTCACCAGCCTCTCAGTCCGGCTCTTCTTTGACTTACTGCCATTTTTCTCATGGCTTCCATCTCCAAAGCCTGCTATGGGATGGTTGGACTGGTAAAGCAGGGCCTCTCCTGTAGCATAGGTAAAGGGTAGATGCATCGAGCGTTTACGCAAGTGTTCTCCTCCCTCCTCATCTCTATAAAGACAGAAAAATTGATTATTGTCTGAAGACATCACCATGGCAATTAATTTAAAAATGATCAAAGCTTGCTTCGTTTCAAGAGTTTCAGTTGGTTCTTACCCACTTTTTCATGATTTAAAACTGTCATAAGTGTAAAAATGGGAGTCTGTGGCACATCATAACTGAAAACTATACATGCTTCCCTTTTTGGATAAACATTTTGTAAACCAACAAAATGTACTATTTGTAGACTGAATAACATACAAACATACAAACATAGAACATACAAAAGAGGCCTCTGGGTGGCGATGATGTAGTCTGGTTTGCCGTTCTTGTACACCAGCCTGGCATTGGCCTGGACCCATTTCCAGCGATTCTCCTTGGTAAGGAGCCTGAACACAGTCAGGCCACTCTCTCCAGTCTTCATCACTAAGTATAAGGAATACAAACAGTTATAATAAGTGAACTGAATTACAAAATGTATATAAACCCACTAAAGCTCTGTATTTTAGCCATGACGGAGTTCAAAGATGTACTTACATTTTTGCATACTGGCATTACTTATTATAACTTATATTAAATGGAAATCCAATTGACAGAAATCCTATCAAGTAGTTGCTGAGAAACTTGGATGAAAGTGGACCATAGGGATGGACTGACAATCCAACTGACATCCTCTAGCAAGTTATCACACATATTCAGTAATGTGTTTTCACTGCTTTACATTGCAAATTACTGAGGGTGAAAAAGTTAATCATGAGCACTTATACAAGATCATCTCGATGCTCTTGATCTTGAAAAAATGAACGTCAGAGCTTGTAAGTCCAGCGTTCTTTCTTCCTTTTGTACAATTTTGAAAAGCAGAGAAAGTAAATTGCGAAAGCTTCTACAGCCACTAAATCCTTCAGCATGGTATGATGTGAGGCTCAATGAAGAATATCAATTGACTCATCTGTGTAGAAGCTCTACTTGCGCTGACATCTTGATATAACTACACTGACCCTTACTCTACAGTACGGAGAGAGTGGTCTGACCTCTGAGGTGTTTGTGTGTTGGTTCTGCTGTATGGATCATCTCAGATGCTTTGCTCATGCAGTGGATTTGTGGGCCCTATCCTCTCCTCTGGCAGCTCTACAGTTTTGCTCAATCTGCTCCGTAATCCAGCAGGATTACTTGCGAAAGCTGTCTGAACTCTCTGACCAGGTTGGACTAGACCTCAACTTTTCTGACCACGCTAAATAGGAACAATCTTCTGTCAGATAACCATCACAGATGGATGGATTCATTTTACATATAATCATTATGAAACAGCTTCAGGCTACATAACCAGCATCTGTTTGGGCCAAAGTGTGCTCACAAGTAGTTATCTATACAGCAGCATTAAAATGAAGTTATTTTTAACATGGGTGAAGCCAAAAGTGTTTTGATCCGACCAAGTGTACTAAGTAAAGAGAGTTGCACGGTCAAGAAAAAGCACTTTCCACTTCAAAATCTGTCTTAAATTGGTGAAAGCTTTTAAAGCCATACTTTTATGATAGATTAGTATGTTCGGTTTACCTGAAGTACATTATTTTTAGTACAAATTATGTGAAACTCCCCAACTTTCACAAAAACTTCTTTCCTGACTGGTTGGCTTCTGTAAAGTAACAGTGTTTTTGACATTTTATTAGACATTTTTTATTCAAAAGCAACAGTGGAGTGATGACAGGAAGCGAAAGGAGAGAGAGAGATGCAACAAATGTCACGGGCGACCAATAGAACTTACTTCTGACATGGTTCTCTGCGCAGTACAGCATATCTGCTGCATGGATGAACTGATAACCAGATCCTCGTACCCGCAGTTCAGCCTCTGTGTACCCCAGCACTATCTTCCCCCTGTACGTTAAAAAAAAAAAACATACTTCAATTTAAGCACATCTTATATCCATATTAAGTGAAGTATTGCAGCAAAACGAATACACAGAAGAATAAAACCACAAATCTTTTTTCAATCAGCAAAACTATGAGGCTTCTCCTACATGAATGTAACATTAATTCCTGGTACTACTGCTTTATCCTCACACAATTCAAGGAATTAAGTAATTTTACATAAGTGTGTGTGTATGCTGCATGCCAGTATCATTACTTTGCATCGCAGGCCATGGGTGTGAAGTCCAGCTTGTGTTTGGTTCTGAAGATCATGTTCTTGGTCCTGATCTCCAGGATGGATGGAGGCTGCAGGGGAGTCGCAATGGCAAAAAGGGCGAGCTGAGGCGGGACCTTTCCTCCGTTTTCTTGCCGCTGGTTCTGTCCATGCAGAAACTTGAGTCTGCCCTGGATGTTCAAAGCCTGTAGAGAAAATAAAATAAATTAAGTTTGGAATAAGTGTCTATCGTATCCCATCAGTGCGTACACGTAGCACAGAAACGATACAACACCTGTTATTCACTAAGGGGCCGACACTGGGGGAAGAAACATAAAGCATGCGGCTGTGAGAAGTGGAGACGATGGTTATGCACTCTAACACAGAGCACAGTAGGAAAGGGAACCGTCTTCATGTGCCTAGAGGCTGCTGTGTTCAATTCACCAGGAATGTATGGAGAGTAAGTGTGTGTGTACCCAGCGCTATAGCTGACTGCAACCCCCCCTCGAAGATTTATGTGAAGCTGCTGCTGTTTTGTTGTCTGTACGAATCAAAACATGATGACTCTCCAGTGGTGGGGTGAAATGTTGAATCACCTTCCATACATCGGGCAGTTGCAGCATTTTATGTGCAGAGACATGTGCACCGGCCCTTGTGCCCCAACCACCTGCAAGAAGCATGTTCCTCCTGCCCACCCTGAGAGAGATGTGTCTGAGAACACTCAGACGTGTGGTGTAGCTCTCCCCAGGGGCACCCCCACTGATAGGACGTGAAGGTTTTTCCAATAGGCCAGATCATAACCTACTGAGGGAGGAATGGAACCCATGCATAGGAAAGCAGGCGGCTACATTATCTTTTTTCTCTGTCATTAACCTACATTATTATTAATCACCCTACTATGTATAGAATGTTTTCTTTTAACACACATCCTCCAATAAAATACAGAAAAACTTTTTTTTTACTTTTTATAATGTGCTTTGCTCATACCTTTTACCTTGTATCAGCTCTTTAACATACTGACCAGTTAATAAACTATTGGTGTAATTTGCTTTATTTTAAATTCTCTATCAAATCAAACATACTTTGACTCAAACAGTACCTTAACCATGTCATATGCTACTTCAGTACACAAATTTCATGGGAGTGGACTGCAGCTGACAGGTTCAACCTACCAGAAAGCCAGAGGAGTTGTCCAGGAGGCAGCGAAAGCGACACACGAAGCTCCTCTCCAGGAAGGACGAGTTCTCTGGGGGAAGCTGCTCAGGGTTGTAGGTGACTAAAGATGAGCTGCTGTCTGGTTCCATCTCTGTAATTGCAAACGTTGCAGAAGTCAGTGGCAATGTGGTGAGTATAAAGTAGTCAGTTTAACTCCGAGCAGTATTCATTTGGCAGATATTTTAGATTAAGCCTTAGTGTTTAAATTAAAATGATTAGTTTTAGTCACATTTTAGTCATTTTTATTAAAGATGTTACAGATTCCAATACGTGGTCAGCTGATACCAATCTGATAAAAGTGTGTTTAAAGTATATTATGTATACATTATTTCAGCCAATAGATGCTCCTAAATGTTACACACTGGACCTTAAAATGAACACTTCTTCATATCTCGCTGTGCTTTGCAACATCAAGTCCACTTTTGAATGAGGCAATCCAAAAATAATTTAAAAAAATAATCAGATTCCTCTCAAAATAACAACCCTGCTCATATTGAGTTTTACTTGGAAATATGTCACTCACCATCAGCTACAGATGGTCTGACTGCTATTTCACTGTGACTTCAAGTATTAGTTTGTGTTAAAGATGAGAGGCCTTTACTATAGAGGTGCTCAGTACATATACAATGAAGCTGTGTTTCTTGATTCCTGGTGTGTTGGAATTCCTTAATAATGTCACAACGGTAAAAATTGAGAGCCCATTTTGGGAGTAAATAATGGCCCAGCATTCTGCCCTCCTCTTTATTTAGTCTTGAGCCGGATGAAATGTTGTCTCATGTCATCAGCTGCCCTCCATTGTATAAATGCACTTATGTAATGATCCCTGGAGCTAACTCTGTCTTAACACACCAAGTGACAGCATTTGTTGCAGTTACAGGGGAGACTGTAAGGAGTTTCTAAGTACAGGAACGGGTTAGTTGTGTCGGGACTGTGGGTCTTAGCCTAAACACATTGGTCAGAACCAAAGCAAACAGACATAAGCATCTTAAAGCCCAAATACAGATCTGCGACCACTTCACCTCATAAGCCACAGTGAAGATTACAGGGTCATGTGACCTGACCTGAGGATGGTCTTAGAGCTTAATGCCCAAACTGTGTGTACTTAACTGTCTAAAATTGATGTCCAAATGTATGTTCACAGACTGCAGTGGAGTGCAGCACATTTAGCATTGGTGCAGTGATGCTGAAACACATATGTGTGCATATATACACAACACACAAAACAATGTTTCACTTTGGTACACCATTAGGATAAATAGCTCCCAGGTCATGCAGCAAATATTCAGAGACTGATTTCACTAAACACTGGTAAGAGCCATGGTCAAATACAACTGACCCGTGTAAATATGATAATACCATCGTCTGGTGTGTTTTTGTTTTTGTGTTTGACCTTCAGACAAGGGTTTCAGTTCAGAAACCTGTATTCAGTCCCACCAGGATCTGTCAGTTTGGTTGTGGTCTTGATAATGGACTCATAGGAGGAGAGAGTGATCACCTTGAGGGGAGTCCTGGGTAATGGCAGATGCAGTGGCGGCAGGAGGATTCAAAGCCCAGTGCAAGTTTCTCCTGAGCTCCTGCTGATCCTCCGTATGGACTAGCTCATACACACTCTGGTGCATGACATCCGTCTGAGGAAAAATAATGAGTAAAGGATAAAACAAGTTATTTGCAAGTGGAGACATAGAGGATGTAGGCAAAATTATACACCTGAAAAAGAACCAGCATCCAAAGGTCCGTCATAATGTATCTAATATTATATAATGTCCATGAATAGTTTTAGTTTGTGACTGCTACCCCTCTTCATTAATGCAGTTTGACTGTGTGCCATTAATTTTCTCAGTGACCAGACTGCTCCCTGTGACTTATTCAATAATTTGCAGGTCTTTACACTGGTGATGCTGTAGTGTGACAGTTTGAGCATGGATAACGTGAGTTATTTCTTTAAGCAACAAATGCAAGCTACAATAGGTTCAACTTTGTGAACAAAGCCCGTGTAGGTTTGCTGTCGTCACTAGCTGTCTTTGTAGGTCATTGCAAATGTTTCATAGTTGTAACTAGGGTGTTGCTACATGGCTGCTAAGGTATTGCTAAAATGTTGCCTATTGATTGTTAGGGTGTTTGGTGTGGTTGCTAAGAGAGATTTTGGGGTGTTGCAAGGTATTGAGGTTCTGGGTGGTTGCTTAAAATACCTGGATATGGTACTATTAGTGGGTAGTTGTAGCAGAAGTAGACACATATGCCCAGCATTGTGTATGTGGCTCCAGCAGTGTGTATGTAGTGTGCACAAAACATTGTGTTCAAAAGCAAATTTCACTTTTAGATCGTTCTTAAAAGTCACAGGTGCACTCAGCTGTCCAAAGAGTCTCAGTGTGTGCTGCTCAGCTGAGCTGTGAGGAAGGGATGTGTTGCTCACTGCAGCCCACTGCTGTGCCTGGTGGTTTGTAAAAAGGCCAAGCTATAAATAGGGCAGGTCTTTTTGCTGTTGTTTGAGCCTCTGACTCTGCACCATGCAGGGAGAAGACCGCTGGATCAAACAAGACCCCTGAGCCGCTCCCAGCAGATGTTGCACGCAAGCCATCCATCCAGACCTATCTATCAACTGCTAAAACAAAGACCTGAGATCTTTATTTAACAAATGTGCCTCTATAGATTTGCACCCCTCTCTGTCTACCTATGAACATGAAATGTAAGCAAGAATAAATAGAAAAATTAAATTAAATCATGGCTAGGTTAGATGATGAACACGATGGGTTAAAATGACAAAAAATTCCCCCATATACCGTTTCTATATCTGATTGTGTTATCATTGTTGAAGAGAGTGCGGGGCAATCATTGGATGGTGATTAGAAGTCAAAAGGGTATAGAGAAAGACTGCTACAATACCTGGTGGAAGCCCAAGTAGTCCTGGATGGTGTGAGAGGAGTAGAAGATGGTTCCACTGGCAGTGATAACCAGGACGAAACCGTTGAGAGCCTGTAGGTCAGACAAGGCAAGCCCACAGACAGTTAGCAGAGTCATCTTGCTATGATTTAGCTCTCATTGTATGGGAGCCTTTAGTTAAGAACCACACTGTCATCACGTCAAATGTTGGATATGAAGGGGAGGTTTGCAAGTAATCCTGAAAAATGCCACTTATTTCAAGCTATTTAAACAGGCAGAGATGGCCAGCTCTGTGTATCCCACTGAACTATCCTTTGCAATATACAATATACTGAACACTGTTTTAACTCTTTCTACATCATGGACTTTGGCTTTGGTGTATTTTCACTACTGACATTAGAGTTGGCCTTATATTTAAATCATAGATGGCCACACAATGTTTGTCACTGATGCACAGCAAATGTCAGCTTACCACAGTCTCACACTCACTACACCGGCTGTGCTCTCATATTTCACAATTAGGCTGCCACACAGTATTTATTTCCATTTTAAAAATCTAAATGAAGACCAATACACTCCAGTTCCTTTTGTATGAAGATTACCACGCGTCCTGGAAAACCTGGAAATGTATTAAAATTACCAAATATCCTGGAAATAATCTTTGTTGTGCTGGAATTTTTTTCCCCCACTCTTACGTAAACCTAGGTGTGTATTTTGTTTGAAACCCAACTCTTGGTAGGGTAAATTGCATTTCCACTTTGAACTTTCAGTAGTGTGACTAAGTAAATTTATTGCAGAGTTGCGAGCCAAATTCCCATATTTACATTTATACAACACAAATGATACATACACACACAGTGATGTCAATTGTACGTGCAATGAACACTACCTTTCTAAAAGATGAATATTCTGTCAAAGAAAATAAATGTTGCTTGATTTAAACTGTTAGGTATGGGCTGTGGCCAAATTAAAGTAGTAAATTTGCCCGAAAGTGCTGTCCTGTATTGTCAAGAAAAACTCCTGGAAAATTATTTGTAAAAAAAAAGAGTGGGAACCCTGACATTACACCTAGCTAAAACCAATGCAGTCGAATCTCTATATTAAGGTTATACTGGCTTGTTATAATGAAACAGTTTGAGAGAGGTGTTGGTTCTATTTTATAGATAATCTTGGAGGATGTAGTTTGTGTATTGTGCTACACTGACAGGTGATTTAATGATTTTAATGCAATGCAGTGGGGCAGTTGTTGCCTTTTATTGGGCACTAAAGTCTGCATCCGATACAGATAAAGTTGCGCTATCACAAACTTCAGGCCAGTAAAACAGCAAAGCACAGACTTTTATAATGCAGCAATGTATAAATAAACATTAACATCTCAATGTTTTTATATATATATATATATATCTCTCTTCTCTTCTCTATATATAATATATATATATTATATATATATATATATATATTCTACAAATATAAAGCATATACATATATAATGTAAACAGTGTCAGCCCTTTCCTTTCATAACTATTTTAATGACGTGAATTATTTAATGTCTTCTATTTCTGTAAAAGGAAAAAAAAACAAGATTTTGTGATAGATGGTAGTAGATGGCAACAGTACAGTTTACA